TTTTTCTCTGAGGAGGGTGTGTGGTGGGGGGGAGGGGAAGGGGGTCATTCCACATGACTAACTACAATCCAGGGGGAAAGGGAAAAGATCAGGGGGAGGATCTAACCCACATGACCTGAGACCATCTATGGGAGGAAACTGCCTTAGGGCAAGGTCCTAGTTAACATTAATATTTCCAGTACTTGCTGTCCCAGTTCTGCCCCTTGCTAGGTGTCCAGGACTTTCTGCCCTGGTGACATTATGTACCTGACCTGTTATCTTGCTCTGCTCATGCCTGTCTTACTGCTTACCACAGTTCGAGTATCACTGTTGAAAAGATATCTTTTCTCTATTGAATTACCTTTACTCGTCAAAAATCATTTGGACATGTATATATAGGTATGTTTTTGACTCAGTCCTGTTCCATTGATTTTCTGTCCTGTCAACAATACCACACTATCTTAATAACTAGCTTTATATTAAGTTTTGCAATCAGGTGGTATGAATTCTTCAACTTTGTTCTTTTTCAAAATTGTTTTGACTATTCTAGTTTATTTGCTTTTACTACTTTGCATTTACTATTAAGAGCATGAAGTAACATGTAGTTTGTTTCCTCTTTTATTTCTTTCCTAACCAAGATTTTATTTTTTTAATAGAATGGTGTCATGTGTGTATTTGTGGTCATTTTGGACACGAGTGATTTTTTTTTTCATCTTGCTTGCATTTGAGCAGAAGGGGTGTTTTTAATACATGGCCAAAATAATCTGCATTTATTGCATTCTTTAAACATGGAATAATAATGTATAAAACATCTAAATGCTAGAATCAGCTTTTTAGTGCATATAAAAAAATTCTGGAATTTTGATTGGGACTTCATTGACTGTAGAATAGTTTGGGGAAAAATATCTTCATGATATTGAGTCTTCCAACCCATGAACATATAATATCCCTCCATTTATTTAGCCCTTTGATTTCTTTCATCATTGTTTTGTGTAGTTTTCAGCATACTAGCCCTGCACATATTTGTTAGATTTATACCTAAGTATTTTATAGATAAGATCCCTTGGGATTTTTTTATTGTGAGCAATCTTGTCTGCAAATAGAAAGTTTCATTTATAAAATTCCTTTCATTTCTTTTTCTTATCTTATTGCATTAAGACCTCAGTAGGATATTGAGTAGGAATGGTGAAAACAGACATGCTTGTCTTGTTCCTGTTTTTAGGGGGAAAGCCTTCGGTCTTTGACCATTAAGGATGATGTTAGCTATAGGCTTTCTTATAAATACTTTTTTTCATGAGAGATTTTGGTCTGTGACTTGTGCTAACCTAAAAATAAAAGTCCAAACTGAGAGGCAACAAGCATTTATTTGAGATTTAAAAAGAAGAATAGCTATTTGAGATACACTGATTCAGGCAGTAACCCAAATAGTACTGCAGTTAGGAGACTAAGGCAAGGGGTTATTAATGAGAAAGGGAAGGGGAACAAGAAGGAAGGCATTTCTGCCCTGGCCAGTTTGGCTCGGCGGTTAGAGCGTCGGCCTGCGGTACAGAGAGACCTGAGTTCGGTTCCCGCTAAGGGCACGTACCTGGTTGCAGTTTGTCCCCGGCCCTGGTTGGTCGTGCGGGTGGCAACCACTCGATGTGTCTCTTTCACATCGATGTTTCTCTCTCTCTCTCTCTCTCTTCCTCTCTCTCCCTCCCGCTCTGTCTGAACAAAAAAATGCAAAAATGTCCTCGGGTGAGGATAAAAAAAAAAAAAAAAAAAAAGAAGGAAGGCATTTCTTTTTGTGCAGATAAGCTAATATAGCAAAGCTCATTCTAAAAAATGTTTTTAATTTTCAGTTTCGTAGTCATTAGTCATATAGTCATAATATCTGCTTTCCTTGTTATTTTATAAACAGTTGTTTGGAACTGTCAATGTAAGAAAACTTAAATTTATAGAGAATTTTTGTGAGTTTATTTGAGCCAAATTGTTGACAATTTACTGGGAAGTAAAATCTCAATAGATTAAGATAATGTTCCAGAGAGTGGCAGTTTTGTATTTTATTTTATATATTATAATTAAAAGAGCAGATGCAAGTGGGTGACATAAAATCTATTGGTGATAGATAAAGGAGATGGGAGAAAGTAAAGCTGGGAAACCTGGGATAGGATGAAAAGTAAAAGGTAACAAGTGTCCTGTCAGTGACTCTGGGCAAGCCCAAAATGAAAATTCCCTATGGGCAGTAATAGTTCAGACATTAGGAGTTTATAAATTATTTGCAATACTCAGTACACACTTCCAATAAGCCCATTGGAATAATTTGAAGTCATTTCTTGGTTTAAAAAGTTTCTTAAAATTTAAACTTTGAGAAGGTTGTCAAACAAACTTAATTAAAAGATTATAATATAGCCTTGGCCAGTTTGGCTCAGTGGCATAGAATTGGCCCGTGCACCCAAGGATCTCGGGTCTGATTCTTGGTCAAGGGCACGTATGGATTGCAGATTTGATCCCCGGCCCTCAGTTGAGGTCGTGTGGGAGGCAACCGAATGATAAGTTTAAATTAGTGGAAAAAGATCCTCAGGTAAGGATTAACAACAACAAAAAAGGTTATTAATATATAAATGTTTTATACCTAGGGAAATAAACATATTTTTGTGAAAATAATTTTAAAGTTATTAAACTTAAAAATAGTTTTAATATTAAATATTTTGTCCCTGCTAGAATTTTGTTTAATTTATATAAGTGTTTAATTTTTAGGGGTCAGTTGAAGATTATATTTCAGTAATGTCATCTGGAGGCTGAAAATTCACCATACATAATGTACAAATGAATATATATTATATAAAGACCATATATATATATGCCATATATATAAAGGCCATATATAATTTGAATTCTTAGTTTTTGTAGAGAAAGTATAAGAATTTTTTTTTATTTGTCCTTGATAATGTTTAAGAAGACTAGAAAAGGAGAGGAGGGAATATCCTAATTATTCAGTAGGAAGAGTTGTTGAGACTTTCAATAAAAGCCTTAAGGGCTCTGAATAAGTGGTGGGAATAAAGAAAGTCTTGGCTCCAATTTAAGTAAATAAGTAATAGGAGAGAATTGGACTGGGTCTTATTTTTTTTAATAAACTTAAAACTTTTATAGCCTTTTTGTTGTTGTTAATCCTCACCTCAGGTTCTTTAATAATTGATTTTTAGATAGAGTGGAAGGGAGAAGAGAGAGAGAGAGAAACATCAATGTGAGAGAGAGACATCAGCCCTGGCCGGTTTGGCTCAGTGGTTAGAGTGTCAGCCTTCGGTCCAGAGAGAGAGACACATCGACTAGTTGCCTCATGCACGACCCCGACTGGGGCCAGGGATTGAACTTGCAACCCAGGTATGTGCCCTTGACTGGAAATCAGACTTGTGACCCTTCGGTCTGTAGGCCAATGCTCTACAACAGAGCCTAACTGGTCAGGGCTTTATAGCCTTTTATAATCTTTCATATACCTTTTTATAATTTTCATAACCCTTTTTATTTATTTAGAAATAACTATTTTTAGAATAATTTATTTTTAAATGAATTTTTATACCTCATGCCTTTTATTAAAATTATATATTTTTAAAATTTAATTCAAATTTTTAACTTTTAGAAACCTCAATTTTCAATGGTAATTTAAAAAATAAGCAATTAGTATCTCCTAGACTGACTTTATGAATACATTTTATAACCTTTGGAAAAAATGTTTTTTTCTGTTGGCAAATATACCTTCAAAAAATATATCTCTGATAAATTACTGGACATCTATTAATAGTGCCAAATTTATTTTACAGTTCTTCTGCAACAAAAGCCAAAAGCAAGTGAATTTAAGAGTTGTTTAGCAATTAATGTTTTAGTATTTTATGTCTGTAAAATATTTAGATGTTTAATAACTTTTATTAAATTTCTTAATTTAAGAAACAGCTAAAATAAGTTGATTTGATTTGTTTAGATGGCTAAGGATTATTTTATAAGATTTATTTACTTTTCATATGATTTTTTAATTGATTTTTTTTTTTTAAGGGAGAGAGAAAGAGATAGAAACATTGGTATGAGAGAAATATTCAATGGCAGACTCTGGTACACCCCCCACTGGAGATTGAGCCTGGAACCTGGGCATATGCCCTGACCAGAAATAGAACTGGGACCTCTCAGTCCATGGGACCAAACTCAGTTCACTGAGCTACACCGCAGGGAAAAAAAAATAGAGCAAGATAAATGGAGGCAGATATTTGCCAATGATAAATTTAACAAAGGGTTGATATCCAAAATATGAGGAACTCATACAACTTAATAAAAAAACAAACAATCCAGTAAACAATAGGCAGAGAACCTGAATACACATATTTGTACACAGGACATTCAGATAGTTATTAGACATATGAATAGATTCTCAATGTCACCACTCATCAGCGAAATGCAAATTAAAATTACGGTGATCTATCACCTCACACTTGTCAGAATGGCTATCATCAACAAATCAACAAACAAGTATTGGCCAGGATGTGGAATAAATGGAATTCTCATGTGTAATCATTGTTGGTGGGATTACAAATTGGTACAACCTGTATGGAAAATAGTATGAAAGTTCCTCAAAAAATTAAAATAGAACTACACATTCCACCTTTTGGTATATATCTGAAGAAATCCAGAACACTAATTTGAAAGGCTATATGTACTCCTATTTTTATTGCAGCATTATTTATAATAACCAAGATATGGAAGCAACCCAAGTGCTCATTAATAGACGTGAATAAAAAAGAAGTATACAGTCGTTCCTTGCCACTTCGCGCTTTGACTTTCGCAGCCTCACTATCACGGTTTTTTCAAATTTAATATTAAAAAGTTGATCAAGACAGTGAAAATGATACAGCGCGCACTCGGTTGTCTGAGTCAATTATACATCCCTGTATTTCAATTAAAAATAAAATTATTGTACGTATGGACTGTAGGCCTATGTATTTGAGCACTCCAGGAATTCTTCAACACCAGGTGCAACCACTAGAGTCTGGAACAGATTAACCGTAATAAACGAGGGACGACTATACCCCTGGGTCTCTACTAAGTGTCCCATGCCAGAACAGACTGTGGCCTTGAACCATCGCCTGGTCTCTGCCTGTAGGCTGTAGGCACTGAAGTGAGTTGTACAGTGGCGGGGGGGGGACAAGTGGTACACATATACAATAGAATATTACTCATCCATAGAAAAAGAACGAAATCCTGCCATTTCTGTGCAGGAGGCAACCAATAGATGTTTCTCTCTCACATTGATGTCTCTTTCTCCCCTTCCCTTCCTAGCACTCTATTTAAAAATTAATGAAAAATAGCCTCAGGTGAGGATGAATAGCAACAACAAAAAAATTATTAATATATAAATTTTATAAACCTGGGTGAAATAAATGTGTTTTTATGGTAATATTTTTAAAGTTGTTAAACTTAGAGTTTTAGTATTAAATATTTTGTCCCAACTAGAATTTTGTTTAATTTATATAAGTATATATATTAATATATTATAAGTATTTAACATTTTTAGGTCAATAAAATATTGTATTTTAGTAATCTCATCTGGAGGCTGAAAATTCACCACAGATAATATACAGATGAATATATATTATATAAAGACCATATATATAAAGGCCATATATGTAATATGAATTATTAGTTTTTGTAGAAAAATAATGTAAGAATTTTTTTTTTATTTGTCCTTGATAATGTGTAAGAAGACTGGGAAAGGGGAAGGTAGGTCCTAATGATTAAATAGGAAGATTTGTTGAGACTTTCAATAAAAGCCTTAAGGTCTGTGAATGAGTGGTAGAAATAAAGAAAGTCTTGCCTGGCTGGTGTGGCTTAGTGGATTGAGCACCATCCCATAGACTGGGAGGTCCCTGTTCAATTCCTGGTCAGAGCCCAGGTTGCAGGCTTGATCCCGTATAGGAGGCAGCTGATCTATGTTTCTCTCCCACATCAATGTTTTTTTCTCTCCCTTCCTCTCTCTAAAAAATCAACTAAAAAAAATATTTTAAAAAAAGTCTTGGCTCCAATTTAAGGAATTAAGTAATAGGAGAGAGTCAGACTGGTTTTTCTTTCTTTATAAACTTAAAACTTTTATAAATTTTTATAATCTTTTATATACCTTTTTATTTATTTAGAAATAACTATTTTTAGAATAATTTATTTTTAAATGAATTTTATAACCTCAAGCCTTTTTATTATTAAAGTTATATATTTTTAAATTTAATTAGAACTTTTATCTTTTAGAAACATTAATTTTCATTGATAATTTTAAAAATAAGCAATTAGCTGGCCAGTGTACCTGGATGGATTGAGCATATTCCCATGGACTGAAAGATCTTGGTTCGATTCCTGGTCAGGGAATATCCCCGGGTTGTGGACTTGATTCCCGGTAGGGGCTGTGCAGGAGGAAACCAATCAATGTTTCCCTCTCACATCAATGTTTCTCTCTCTTTCTCCCTTCCACTCTCTCTCTAAAAAATAAAAAATAATAAAGACACTAAACAAATAATAATAAAATTGAAAGCTGTAAGTCCTCCAATTTAAAAATAAGTATTTAGTATTTCTTAGACTGTCTTTTATGAATATATTTTATAACCTTTGGAAACAGGTTTTTCCATTGACAAAAATACCTTTAAGAAATACATCTGTAATAAAGTAATAGACATTTATTAATAGTTCCAAATTTATTTTACAGCCCCTCTGCAACAAAAGCCAAAACGCAGGCTAATTAAAACTTATTTAGCAATTAATGTTTTAGCATTTTATGTTATTGTAAAATATTTAGATATTTAATAACTCATCAAATTTGTTAATTTTAGAAAGGAATAGCTAAAATAGCTTAAATTAATTTGTTTAGATGGCTACAATTTCTTACAAGATTTTTTTTTTTTTTTTTTGTGGTATGTGCCCCTAGCGGGAACCGAACCCGGGACTCTCTGGTCCACAGGCGGACGCTCAATTGCTGAGCCAAACTGGCCAGGGCTATAAGATTTTTTAATATATATTTGTATTTTAAAAGATGGTTTAAATAAAAGTTTTTGAAGACCAGGTATTTGCATTTCAAGGATCCTAAGACTTTGGTTTTATAATATCAATTTATAAGTCTCTTAAGATGAATAGGGGAGTTTGGCGGAAGGTAAAAGAATTTGGTGGGCTTTTGATGTTTTGGAGTCACATCTTTGGCCCTGTAAAAACTATATTGTAAAATGAGGACAGTGTTTTTTTTTTTGTTTGTTTTTTTTACTTACTTACTTTAATACCTTAATAATGACCTGGCAAATCTATTTATTTTTGGAATATTTCTTTTCATTTGTGTATTTTTTTTTTAGTTTGTAGGCAGTATAGTTTAGGGTCATCTCCGAAAGCCATAAAGGCGTGGATATCTGGAACCTCCGTACATTTTCCTTGGGAATGGTAAAACTGTAGTATTGGTTAAATAATTTACTTTTGCTTCCATGGTGGCAGTTTTAGAATGTCCTGGAATTTTGATGATTGGCAGTTGTTTAAATTTTTCTATGACATGTAACAATTCTGTAACCTGTTTTTTTAATTTTGGGGGGCTGTCTTAGAAAATTAAGAAGTCTTGCTTGTTCCACAACATCCTAATGCTGTGAGCTATACCAAAGGCTTAGCTACTATTAGCATAAATATTGGCTATTTGATCTTCAGCCAATTAACAAGCTCAAATTAGAATAATTAAGCTTGTTGGGCAGATTTTATTCAGGTAAATAAGAACCTTCAATTATGTTCATCATGGATGTTTTGAATAGTCATCTCTGTAATATTCCTGCATGTTCTTTTATTTTTATTCCTCATCCAAGGATACTTTTCTGTTTATCATCAGATAAAATGGGAGGGAGGGAGAGAGATAAAGAGAAACATCAATGTGATAGAGCCACATCGACTGGCTGCCTCCCACACGAACCTCAACCAAGGTAGTGCCCTTGGCTGGCATCAAACTCGTGACTGACTCATTGGTATGCAGGCCGACGCTCTAACCACTGAGAAAACTGGCCAGGGCTCTGGCTTATTCTTTAAAGATCTATTTGTAAACCATATTAAGTCAGTATTTTTTTTTTAATCCTCATTCAAGGACATTTTTTCACTTTTTGTTCAGATAGAGCAGGAGGGAGAGAGAAGAGGAGAGAGAGAGAGAGAAAAAAAAACATCGACATGAAAGGGACACAATCGAGTGGCTGCCACCCACATGACCCAACCAGGGCCCGGGACAAACCGCAACCGAGGTACATGCCCTTAGCGGAAACCGAACCCGGGTCTCTCTGGACCGCAGGTCGATGCTCTAACCCCTGAGCCAAACCAGCCAGGGCTTAAGTCAGTATTATAACAGAGTTTCCTCTAAAACATTCTTAGGAATAATAAGGTGGTCAGTAAGCAAAACGTAATTGTGGATGTCTTTATTCTGCAAAGAAAGTAGCAGAGTTGCTGGGTTACATCAAGTTTAGGTGAAAATAGTTGCAGAAGGCAAGAGCCAATCAGCTGATAGGAGTGTTCGATGTGATGAGAATTTCATGGAGGTTTTTTTTTTTCATTCTTACCCGAGGAAATATTTTTCCACTGATGTTTAGATAGAGTGGAAAGGAAGTTGGGAGAGAGAAACATAGGTATGAGAGAAACACATTGATTGGTTGCCTCCCACAGGACCCTGACTGGGGCTGGGGATGAAACCTGCAACCCAAGTATGTGGCTTTGACCGGGAATTGAACTTTCGAAATTTTGGTCACCAGGCTGACACTCTAACCACTGAGCCAGACTGGCCAGAACTTTAGTGGAGATTTAATAGAATGAGGAACATTTTTTTGTTTGTTTGCATAATACGTGTATAGCATAAATGGCTGTCATCTAGGAAAGGAGCCCTTTGGCTACTTGACTGTAATAGCCTATAGGTCTATGATGATTTATATTTTTGACTTAAATTTTTTTACAATTAAGGTGTACCAGAGTGGGAGTTTTATTATTTTTTTTATTCCTCATCCGAGGATATTTTTCCACCTATTATCAGATTGAGTGGGAGGGAGGGAGGGAGAGAGAGAGACAGAGAGAAACATCGATGTGATAGAGCCACATCTACTGGTTGCCTCCTGCACGACCCAGCCAGGGCCAGGGATGAACTGCAACCGCGGTACGTGCCCTTGTTCAGAATCAAACCCATGACTCATTGGTCTATGGTCTGACGCTCTAACCACTAAGCCAAACCGGCCAGGACACAAGAGTGGAAGTTTTAGATAGTTCCTTCCTTCCTTCCTTCCTTCCTTCCTTCCTTCCTTCCTTCCTTCCTTCCTTCCTTCCTTCCTTCCTCCCTCCCTCCCTCCCTCCCTCCCTCCCTCCCTTCCTTATTTTTTTTTACCAATTTTATAGCTCATTTCCCTTCTGGGTTTTACTGAATTGGATTAGGTCAATTTTATTTTAATAAGACTTACAGAGCCTGGGCCATTAATGAAAAATTTGGAATCCAGTTGTGACATTATTTATTCAAACCAGGAATTCTCTGTTTTCTTGTTTTTTTTTGGAAGAGGAAAAGATACGATTTTTCTGAGTCTGTTAGGGTTAATTAGTAGCCCATTTTTTTAGATATTAGAATCAAAGTATTTTAACTGAGGTAAACAGAATCAGAGTTTGTTTTTTGATGTCCATGGCTTTTTATAGCTAGCTGTTGTAATAGGTATATTATGTTTTTTGGGAGTCTAGTAATTTTTTAGAGCATAAAACTAAATCACCCACATGTAGTATTAGAGTGGAGTATTTAGGAAACTTAACATTATTTAAATCAGTTTTTATTATCTAGGACAATAGGTGGGACTCTTCGTATATTCCTGGGACATTATGTCCAAGTAAACTTGTGCTTTCTCCATGTGAAAGCAAAGAAGTACGATTGTCTTTTTCTACTGAAATGTTGAAGAAGGCATTACATACATTTATTATTGAAAAATATTGCCAGTCACAGGAATGGCAGATAATAATGTATGTGGATTTGGAAACATAGGATGTCTGGAAATAACTAGTTTATTTATAGTTTCAATATTTTGTACAAATCTCCATTTTTTTCTATTTGTTGTTTTGTTTTTTTTCTACTGGAAGAATAGGAGAATTACAGGGGCTTGTACATGGAATTATAAGCCC